GCCGTCTGCGCGAGTTTAATCCGGTTTAGGGCTTAGGTCTTGGGGCTTATAGGGATTCGGGTTGAGAGACCAGTTGCCGTACAGCTTCCGAGTTGTACGGCTAGGGATCAGGAGACCTAGCGCTAGCACCGAGAAATTTAGATTAGAGCTGGGGCTCCGAAGAAGAACCCAAATTATGCAGCCTGCTCGGAGTTGGTCCCCTGATAACGGTCATAATTATCATAACCCTACGTATAACACCACGTATAACTACCTGACTACACATGAATCTCCAAGTGCTTCGCAAAATCCTTGAACCTCCTGACTCGCCGAAGGGGATCACAGGATGAGGAGATCCACTGCCTCTACGTTGTCGCGTGGAGGGGCATCTTTTTCGCTAATCCTCAGGGTTTCCCAGAGAGCCTAACAAGAGTATCCCTTAAATCATGATATGAAGCCCCTTAGAATTTAAGGTACAGTCCTTAATTAAGGGGTATTGGGTTCTGTGGGTTAGGGATTTTTCGAAATAGGGCCGTAGACTGGCTAAACCCTGAACCCCTGACCTTCTAGGGTCTAGGCTTGCGGTTCTCTGGGCTTGCAAACCTTACGGACGAAATGAACCCAATTTTAGGGTTTAAGGTTCATCTACCATATGGGTAGTTCTCTCTAGATCCCCAACATAGTACGGCACCTCTATGCAAAGGACTCTAAAAGGGACCCTAATATAGAGAACTTCCCAGATAGGGTGTCACAGGAGAAGGGTATAGGGCCCCAACTTTTGAGGGCCATTTGCTCCTAAAGGATTGGCTTTGTAGGCTGCACCACATAGCAAGATCAGGTAATATAGGGGCCTTTATAATTAGAATAGGGTTGTGAGTATAATTATGCTGAGGAACCCTAAGGATTAATATGGGTAATTCTCTAAGCTCCTGTAGCAGGATCTTGGATTCAGGCTTCTGTCCGGCTTTTCATATGCTGGGCTCTGGTATCTCCGGATAAGATGATGAGACTCGGTAAAGAATTAAGCGTTAAATTAAACGATGCTATAAGTAGGACACTTCGGTTTTACTCGGCCCTCTTTAGGGTTTCGGGTTTAGGGTTGAGGGCCTTGCTCGCAGCAGTCGGCATTTGTAGAGCAGCCAGGAACGTTTTCCATGGCGCTGGCCTGACGCTGCAAGGTTTCCGAAAACCCTAACTTTAAGCCCGGTTCAGAGCTGTAGGGCACTATAGGGCTAAGTGTTTAGAGTCTAGAGTTCAGTTTTGATTCTAGGTTCAGGGCTTTGCGGCACGAAGCCCTAACACTCAAAGCTTGCTACCAGCTGCCGCTCTTCTTCATCCACCATCTTGCATTCAGGCTGTTGAAACCGAACATGCTATGATATAGTATAACGCATTAGAATAAAACATAATGCACTATACACTGTAGTCTAGTATAGCACCTTATAGTGAGACAAGACGATCATAGGTGTCATGCAGAAAGCCCGATAAGGTTTAGAACCCTATTCCAATTATGCAGGCCCTTTTATAACTATGACTGTACTATACTGTACCCCAGAACCCCATTCAAGTTATTCAGGCCTTGATTTATAGGCAGACCGCCAGATGGGTAGTTCTCTAAGTTAGGGTCCCTTTGCACGGCCCAAGAATAGTGCAGCACCCGTACAAAAGGGAGCCTACTCCAACACGTATCAAGGGAAGGATTCGGGCCTGCATGGCAGTGCGGCATCCATCTGCCCGGACAGAGGCACAAATGCCCACGCCCATGATGCAGAAGGCGCACGCCCTAAACCCGAAACCTTAGGCTTAAGCTTAGGGTCAAGGGAAGTTAAAAAAACCCAAACCATCAACTTGCGTTTAGGGTTCAGTCATGTTGCGAAACCCTGAACCCCAAACCTTAAGCTTAAGTGTGGGGTTAAGGGATGTCACGTGCTTGGGCTTCTAGGACGTTGGACTCGTGCGACTTGTGGGCTTCAGGGCTTGGCGGTTGAGGGGCTGTCCGGGCGTAGCGGCTTGGGACGTTTAATGTAGGGGCCTAAATAATTGCCGATACTATTTTGGGGTTCCTTATTATCAATATAGTATAATGGGCCCCCAAACGCTATTCTAATAATTAAGGCCCCTACATTAGAGAGAATATCTACACAGCGACCCCTCTTCTTAACATCTGCTGGGTTCCAAGTTGAGGATCCTAAGCCTAAGCCCGAAACCGGTCTAGTATTAGGGTTTGGGGTTTTGGGTCTAGGGTTTAAGGCACCCTACCCGCCAAATAGTATACGTACAAACTGCAAGGCTTCTTTGGGGCTTTGAGCCCACGCCTGCACTGCTTCAGCTTCGAAGGGTTCAAAGTGCTCCAAAAAAGGGCTGAAGGCTGAGGGGTTACGGTTTCAGGTTCAGCTTTCAGGGTTTAGGGTGTACCTAGACCTGAAAGAACCTACCTTTGTAAGGAGTTATATAAGGAAATCAAAACAAGGAACCCTAAAAAGGTAGGTTCTTTTTGGTCCAGGTATGGTTTTGGTGTTGAGGGGTTGAGGGGTCGAGGGCTTTCTGGGTTAGGGGTGCAGCGGTTTCGCGGTTTAGGGGTTTTGGTATGTGGGTGCGAGGGTTTAAGGTTTTAGGGTTTTGGTGTTGGATTCCAAACCAAGGGTCGTTGCACATCGATGGGTCCGTCATACCATCCACCTTTGTCCCACGTTTCGACACTCTTGGCAGGGTCATTGGCCCCTTCGTCTGCTGCAGGGTCTTGTTGAGTTCCACACGGTCTTCAGGTTGACAGAGGTTCAGAAAAAAGGTTTAGGCTTTAGGGTTTAAACTTAGAGTTTAGGTTTTAAGGTTTAGGGTTTAGGTTTAGAGATAGGGTTTCGGCTTGAGGGCCTTGTTTGGTCTTGCATGACTGCTAGGGCATTCTGGAGTGTCAGAGCTTGGGGCTGCCTTTTTGTAGGCTGCTGGTTTGGGGCTTTTAGGGTTCAGGACCGTGCAGCTTCAGGATGTGAAGCCAAGGTTTAGGGTTACGAATTGACGGATTCAGTACTAGCTTGGGCAATCGGCAGAGTAAAGTTCCCTATCAACATCGTGAGACGTTCGACGACTGCCATCACGACTAAGACGAGGAACGTCCAAATGATAGCTTTGGCGTACTCGGCAACCCTGAAACCGGGAGGATAGTTCAGAGAACCTCCCCTCAAGTGATGCGTCTCCAACTCTTTTGAGCCGCTGCCCTAACAATCCATCACTCTGCTGCTTTCGGGGGACATCAAATAACGGCTTTGCCGCAAAACCTGGGTCCTCTCTGCAGGCTCTGGGCCAATAAGAACATAAAGACCAAGCATTACATCACAAACACCCTGCTCTGACCGCCCCCAAAAAAGCCCAAAGCCCGGATGCCCTCAACCTAAGCCCTGTGAGTTGAGGCCTACAGTCACAGGTTCTCCAAACCTCCCTCCAGGAGTCGGAACTCTACGGACTAAAACCCTGTTCCTCCCAATGTAACTATACTAAACTATACGCTAGCACCCTTTTCTAAGTATTAATGCTCCGACACTGTGGCAACCCTTGTAGTAAGCCTTGTAGAACCCTTAGAGGAACCCTAAACCCTAAACCCCAAAAAACTAAACCCTACCCTTAGAGGAATCCTGTTCTTATCATCAAGGGACCCGTCGGCGTCTGCAGAGGGGGCCCTGGTTTTGGGTGGCCGCTCGCATCCACTGAAACAAGCCCTGCAGGATGTCTGACTGACAGACAGCAGAGAGCAAAAAATGTTTTGCTCTTTATAACAAGTTTTGCTCTTTATTTTTTGCTAATCTACCTTTTTAGGCTTCCTTATCCCGATTTCCTTCTATAGATCCATAAAACAATAGGTTCTTTAGGGTCTGGGTCGGTGTCTCGGGTTGTTGTTTTCTTGAATGGGTGGGGGCTTCAGGGTTTGAGATCGGCGGTTTCGGAGTGTAGGCCTAGGCGTTCCCAACAAAGTGTGAAGAGTTCAGGAATGCAACATGGCTAGTTTGGGCCTGCATTCCTTTCAACACGTACCATCCGGAATGTTCCTGATACAGTTCTGGACATTACAACTGCTAACGCATATCGAACATCTCATGTATCAGTAGTGTGATTTACCTTGAACTAGCATCACGATTTGAAACATTGTCCCCAGTTTCTATGCTCCCCCTGCGAAGCCTGATGTGATCGCGAAAGCTACATGTGCTTCTGATTACGATGCTGCCAGTAGTAAAATGTCTCACACACATTGCGGGTCACTATGATAACTGTTCCTTCTGCTAGTTCTATCACTACTGCTGGTGCCGTTTCCAAATTTTGTCTCCTGCTGATCGCTCTTATCCGCATTGGTACGTCTCTACGTCACTGTGACTAGAAATAAAACCTGGAAATACTCATGCTGACTATAGCTCATGCGGGGCTCGTGGATGGATAGGAAACATCCCTCGGCGGCAGCCGAGTGCACTGCTCAGTTGCGTCCTCGGCGCAGGAAGACCACGTCGATCAAGTCCTCCAAACCACTGCTACCAGTAGTAGGGGTAGCAATGGTACGAGCAGCAGCAGCAGCAGCAGCAGTAATAGTAGTAGTACTACTACTAGCACTAGTAGTGGTGGTAGTAGTAGTAGCAGCAGTAGTAGTAGTAGTAGTAGTAGTAGTCGTAGCAGCAGCAGCAGCAGGAGTAGTAGTAGTAGTAGTAGTAGTAGTAGTACTGGTACTAGTACTAGTACTAGTGCTAGTAGCATTCGACATCACTGCTATACAGGTGCCTACTTCGCACACGGCGCGCATTCGGCTATCTACAAGGCCGGCGACCGAGTGTGGCCAGATCGGGATGGTTGGCACCTTGCCAGCAGTCCTTCGACGCATGCTAGAGCCCTAAACTTTTGAACCGGAAGACCTAAGCTTTAGGCCGTAAACCCCAGGCCCCAAGTTTAGACCCCAACATAGAACCCTTATAGATCCTTCGCTGTACAGTAGATCCTTTAAAGACACCCGAAGTTCCAGGCCCGGCTACAAAGGAGCCCTTCGCCTTGGTGACGTCCGTCGTCTCTTCGGTGGTGGTAAGTGGCCCCAGATCATCCCAGAACTCGGCACCTCAGACAGAGGGTGTTCATGGATCAGGGTTTAGGCGTTAAGGTTTTAGGAATTAGGGTTTAGGGTTTAGTGTCAGTTGGGGGTTTGGGGCATGAACTCGGCACCTCAGGGTGCCACAGTTAGGACTTGTTGAATGGTTCTTTCGGGCTGCTAGAAGGGTGTAGGGTTGATGGCTTAGGGTTTAGGGTCCAGGGTTTAAGGTTTAGGGATTTAGGGTTTAGGGGCTTCAGGGTGCGGGGGGTTGGGGGAAATAGGTTTGGCTTCTGAACTCCGCATTCATGGTGATGATCTCTGACACCAGGATTTGCAGTACGGGGTCGGGAGTCTGGACCCTTGACAAGTCCCCTACATCACTTGCGGAAGTAGACATGCTTTATGCAAAACGTAGTCCTTTATCCGACTGCTCCACTGCGTCGATCGGGCTCGAGGTCTCAGGGCTCTGCAGGGCATTACTCGGAGGTTCATGGGTAGTTATAGGTCGGGTTATAAGCCCCCTCATATAAGTTAGACCTATAGTTCCCTTACTTATAACCCCACTTATAACTACCCATGAACCTCCAAGTAGGGTCTAGGGCTTGAGGATGAAATGCCGGAGACGAAGGGTTCAGAGAGGCTGTGGTAACGGTCTATGAGAGGCTTCTATGGATGGCTTAAGAACTGAGTCGGGGTTTAGGGTTGCTTCTGTTCGTGGCGTATACTATACGAACTGGGGCCAAAGAGTAGGGCATTAAGGTAAACCCTAAACCCTAAACCCTAAACCCTACACCCCTAAACCCTAAACCCTAATCAATAAACCCCTAAACCCCTAAACCCCTAAACCCTAAACCCTAAAAGGCTATGGTTCCCTTTTTCGGGCGTAGGGCTTGGTCTCGCGCTTCGGGGTCTTAGGCTCAAAGAAAAGACCGGGGCGGCCCTGCACCCCGACCACCCCCCCCCCCCGAGGATCCAAAGAGTAGATCCCTTCATGTGACTTCGTGCTATAGGGCCCCAAAGTCAGGGTTCTACGTTCTAGATTGTTTTCGGTGGTCTGGGATTTAGGGATATCCCTGAAAGGATCTTTAAGGCCTCTATGGTTCTAAACCCTAAACCCTAAACCCTACACCCACTACTTTCTCGATCGGGGAGGGGGTCTGGTCGAAAGGTCTTGAATGTAGGGGCCTTAATAATTCAAACAAGGTTTCGGGATACCATTCATTACAGTATAAATATACTTCAGGACTCCCCAAATTAGTGTAGATAAGTATTTAGGCCTCTATATTAGAACTCAGGTCCGACGTTGAACTTTGGCCAACCACGAAAGACCCTCACGGTCTAGGGATTCGGGTTTCGGGTTTAAGGTTGAGGGTTTCCAAGACTATAGGGGCCATAATAATTAGAGTAGGGTTTCGGGGCATGTAATAGTATAGTTTTTTTGAGGGGCTCTAAGAAATAATATGGGTAATTATGTAAGCCCCTATAGTATAAGCTCGAGAAGAGCGGCCTAATCGGCTTCTAACCTCCCGGACCTTCGAAGCCAAGGCGCCAAACTCCGAACAGTGAAGAGGGTTTAGGGTTTCGGGCTTAGGGTTCAGGGTTAAGGGTGAAGGGTTTAGAGTTTAGGGTTTAGGGCTAAGGGTTTAGGGTTTAGGGTTCAGGGTTTAGGGTTAAGGGTTTAGGGTTTAGAATTTAGGGTTTAGGGTTTAGGGTTTAGGGTTAAGGGTTTAGGGTTTAGGGTTCAGGGTTCAGGGTTAAGGGTTAAAGGTTAAGGGTTTAGGGTTTAGGGTTTATGGTTAAGGGTTTCCCGCCGCGCAGCGGCTGGAAATCACATGCAGAAACGGCGCCCCGACACACGATCTGGCGAAGGCACAGTTCTCCTGCCCAACAAACTAAGAATTGGTGTGTTGTTATTATTTTCCCGCCCCCTGCTTCCGCAGGCATCCACCCAACCTTTTTC